AAATTTTATAATTAATTGTGGAAAAAAATATCACTTTAATGGACAATTTTCATGTAAAACAAAGTCAAACGAATAGAAAATTTAAAAATCTTCCGGGTGGAAAATTATACCAATCAAACACACTTGAAATCATTTTCCCTGCAAAACATTTTCTAGGCAAATCTTTTCCTTGTAAAACATTTTCTTTCCGTTCATTTTCCACCCTTGCAATCAAACGCACCCTAATTTCTATTTCCGTCTCACTTATAAGTAACCTTTTCATCTACAAGTATTTTTCCAAATTCAATCACTACCTAATTAACCCTAAAACATATACATACATATAGTCGAGGCAGATTTCCCAATAATTTTAAGTTAGGTGGAAATAACACCTAACCTGACATTTCAACTTCGCAATTCAAAAATAAGATTTACAAGTTTTTTATTCAAAAATCGGATAATAATTCAAAATTTTAATATTAGTAAATGGATCGAGAGCTTAATCTGTACATAAATGGTTTAGATCCTGGATAATCCATGGAATAAGTTGGAAATCCATCAACAACTGGAACCAAAAACTGAGGGGGGGTGTTTGACATTCATTTTAAATAGAAAAATTAGTTTTTGAATAGTGATTGATGGAAGAATGTGTGATTAAAAAGTAAGGAGAATTTTTAGGTTTATGTGTAGTATTATTTTATGGATAGAATGTGTGGTTGAAATGAAGAAAGAGAAAAAGAATGAGAATGAGAAAAAAATGGGTGCCAAGCAGAGGCTGAGGCTGTGTAAATTCATTCTTGTTTTGCTCCAGCACAACCCCATCGGTAGTGTCTGTTTCTAATGATCGTTGGTACGGAGTTGTGGCTTTTGATCGGCCAAAATTAAGTCAAGATCTAGGTACAGATCAATATCATTGAACAAGTATTCCATCGATTTATACTCCAGAACTCGGAATCTTCCTTGGGGAGGAGCCACGAGGCTGCCTCCACCTTCTCATTGAAGAAGCAATTGTCACAGTGGTAGTGTTGTTGGGAGATGATGACGACTTAGAGGCGCGTAGTTGGAAAAGGGGACACTCGGGTGGCGCTCGTGGATTAGCAGAGTGGCTGTCTTGATCATAAGTGACGCAAAGCGTTGCTGCATCCACCTTGCAGGTGACTGTGGTTGGTGCTTGCTCGCAAACTTCACACACCAACACATGGTCGTGATGCAACGCTAGTTTGTTAGCAATGTGGGCTTTGCAGTCCCAGCTAAGGCAGAGGAAGTCAGAGTTGGCAGTGCAGAATACGGCTATGGAGGTGGTTTTGCGGTTGCGATAGTGTTAGTGAGGAGGTGGTGGCGATATTGGTGGTGGTTGGGCGTTAGAGTTGAGAGTGCAGAATACGACGCAGAGGTGGTTTTAAGGTTGCAATGGTGCAATGAGGAGGTGGTGGCGATGTTGATGGTGGTTGGGCAGTGATTGATAATTTTGGATCTGATTTTTTAATGGTGTTGGGATAGTGGTGGTGGTGGTTGTGATGTTGGTTGCGGTAGTGTGGTAGTGGTCGTGACGGTGGTATGGTGATTGTGGGTGGGATGGAGTGGGGGTGTTTGTAACCAATTATTTGATTGATCGTGATCAATAAATTTGTTAATTTGTTATTAATAAATAATATGCAATCAATTATGTGAGATTGTGTCATTGTGACCAATAAATTGGATATTTTATGATCAATAAATAATTTGTGACCTATAATTTGAATCGTAACTTATAAAATATATTATTTGACACCAATAAATAAATTATCATATACACTTTTTAATTAGTGACCGATGAATAACTTGTGAACTATGAAATTTTTTATTTGTGACTATGAAATAATTTGTAACATATAAAAATTTTTATTCGTGATCGATAAATAATTTATGACAAATTAACTGGATAAGTTGTGATCAAATAATATAGAATTGTGACTTTAATATATTTAATTAATAAAATATATATTTAATTAATTATTTCATAAATAAAATTTAATTAATATCTGATTTTTGAAATTTTAAACATTGTTTCTTAGTTTTGAAAATGGCCATACTTAATTTCTTAGTGATTGTTGGGTTCATTCTCATTTTAGATATAAATGATTTTTAAAAAAATCCACAAGGATCAAGTCGGGTTGAGTCGGATAGAATTGGTTCTTAATTGCTAAATCACCTTCCTACCCTATGTGGACTACAAGTAGGATAGGCTATTAATTTGTTAGGATAATAGGATAGACGATTAATTTATGGGTTGTGCTACTTGTACATTATGGCATCTATAATGGATGACATAATGTACAAGTGGCAGTACGTTATTGGAGGGTGTGCCGACCCAATAGGATAATCCCACTTGTGCATTATGTCATCCATTATGGATGGCATAATATACAA